TCGGACTCAACTTCGGTGAATGATTAAAGAAGAAAAAAAAAAAGTGACCTGACCAAACCCAGGCACTTTGAGTTCCTCCTATCTGGAGTGCCTTCCTGGCTCTACTACTATCTTTATTAACCTCCTCCCCTTACAGGAGCATTAGAGGGAGGAAAAAAATCCATTTTCTAGGGACAGGACATCAAGAAAAAACAACAACATTGCTTCAGTCAGCACTTTCATAGTCTCCGTTCTTGGCTGATAAATCAAGCAAGATTCAAACAAAAGCAAGTTTTGAGCTGGGGAGGGAAAGGGGGAAGTCACCATTATAAAGACATTCTCAATGCAAAGAGGCGACTAGATGAGATGTTTTATGCTGCCTGCCTGAGAAATAACTGTCCCTTTTTAAGCTGCTGTATCACATCTTTCCTCAAAGAGAAATGGGATGACACAGCACTGCCAGACCCACACATCCAGGCGATGTACACGATACAAGCCAAGGGGAGTCACGGCAGAGGCACTAAAAACTTAAAGTGCTGTGTAAACCTAGATAGAGAAAATTCTTGTTGAGTAACCGGTCCTGACACCTTATGCCACCATCTGAGGCACACCTAAGCTACATTTTCCCCATAAACGTTTAAAAGGTGGATTTAAGTCACAGGTCTCCTCTATGACTGCTGTCTCTGATAAGTAATAAATAAAATTAGATATGTAATAGCTTCACTTGCCCTAGGAACACATCCCCTGTAGACACCTGAACGCCTGATCTGGATGTGCAAGATTAAGCAAGTTAGCTGAAACTGTCAATAAGCTTGGAAAAGAAAGGCTATAGCCAGCAAACTGGTCTCTTTTATCCCTGAAAATAGCACCACCTGCCCCCCACCGCTCAACAGACCACAATCAGCCTTTCAGCATTACTGTAAATAGATTCAAATATGTTACAGAAACAAACTCTCATACTGGAAACACATTAAAGTTATGCACAACAGAAATCCTTGTTAGGACCCACAGATCTTAACCGAGATCTGGGCTTTTAACTTGAAGGAAGGAAAATCTAAAAGTTAAGGAATTTCCCTACTGGAACAGTCCAGTTTTTGCAGACACCGTAACGTTACTTCAGTCGCAATTATATTGTCGTAGCCTTTTTCTTTACATTTCTTCAAGATGCCTTATGGATAATTTGGGTTTCCTTGCCCAGCTACAAAATTATTTAAGTGCTAACACTGAGTGAACTATCAGAACAAAATCTCATTGTCACGGGTTCTGCAGCAGTCTGGCTGCACGGCTTTTTTTTTTTTTTTTTTTTTTTTTACCTTATGTACCACCATCCTTCCAGGTTCTTTTGGATGACCTCCACGGTGACCCCTTTTTCGAACCCAATCTCATCCTTCCCCTGGCTGGCGTACGGCTGGATAGTGACATATTTCTCTTCTAGTGAAGGGAGAAAAGGCAACATCAGTTAGGGTCAGAATTAGTCCAGCTGTTTTTCTGTTCCACGCGCTTTTAAACCGTTGTGCAGTGATTACGTGGAGCCATTACCAAAGGCGGAGCCCTGCTCAGGGGCCCGCTGATTATTTACGCTGACGACATGACAGATAATCAGCCCCTTGCCGCTACCCTGCTGCTGATAATCAGTGCATTTCCATGCCAATAATGACACAGGGTCCCTCGAGAGTCCCCCTCCTCCCCAGTTCCTCCAGCGGGTAAGAGAGGATTTGAAGCTGGACTCCACTTCCATACTGTAACTTGACAGAATCAACCTGGCTGCCAAATCAGCCCAGCGTCACCGCAGGAGCTCCAGCCAGTTGGCTCTTTTGAACACGCACATGGCTGCGTTAAGCATCGTGTTACTGAAACCCGAGCCCTGGATCCCACGAGTGACCTATCTTCCCCTGCGCAGAGAGGCTGACCCATCACGCAGCATGGGTCTACTGAGACGAGCTTCAAACCAGCACTGAAAAGACTACAGAATAAAAGGCTTTGCATTTAACAGGAGACCATATAGCACCTTGCATCCACGGGTTGAAGTGTTTTACAGATAAACTTTCACTAGATCTCACTCCAGAGAAATACACAGGTGGCAACACTAAACAGAGGACCAGAGCTAAAGACATACCTCAAAAGCACAGGCTAGATTTCAAGTTTGGTGTTTGAGCCAGAAATGTTGCATCCCTACTCATCTCCAACTGTTATCCCCTTCCAGGCCAGGCAGACGTGAGTAGACTTGTTGAGAGGAAGCCAACGAGCAGAGGAAACAGACACTTTCTCAGCATCTTCCTTACCCACCAGGAGTCATTTACTGCTCTATTTCCATCACGCTCAAGGTCAACCTTTTCATACATTAGCTTGAGGCATTGACAAAGCGAACTGCTGGCCTCCCGCTCTGCAGGGGCGGGCGGACAAAGCGATACCAAACCACTCTCCTGAACCCAAGCTACAGTGCACAAAAGAGCATGAGTTTGTGGCTACACAAAAAGGCAGTGAACAAGCAATACAGTGCACCCAAATGGGCCTTCCTATCACACTTTCTACAGGCAGTCCCCAACAAGGCATAGCCAGGAACAGAGAGGGGGATGTCATTGCACAGGAGCGGGCAGGGAACGAAGCGAATCCAGCGTTCTCGACCGCTGCCAAACAAAGGAGCTAAGCAAAGGTTGCAGCAGCTGGAGGCAAACACTCTTCTGGAGAGAGTGAAGCAGACCCAACCATATGTTTGGTTTTGCAGCTCAATTGCATTTTGTTGCTGGGTGAAGTACAAAAATTTTAAAGAAAAACTGTACTGAGACAAAGAAAGAAATATTACCTCAGAAAGTGTGTGTGTGTGTGGGGGGGGAGTTGGCACAGCATCTGATGGCAGCAAGTTAAGCAAAACTATATCTTTGAAGCCAACTTCCCTTGACTGGTCTCATTTGGATCCTTTTAATTCTGATAGAGTAAAACCTGTCAAAAACTTTGTCTCCTAGAGGAAAATCATCTCTCCGGCTCCCCTACAAGAGGGGGCTGCTTTAGCTGCTTTATTACTGTTAAGGAATTCCAGCTAGCTTCCAATTAGCACCATCAGGATATACCACCTTCCCCACGGAATTACTCTGCTACAAAATCAGGTCCGATGACTGCTGATGCAGCTGATGAAACATGGCTTCAAAGTCACAGGACAGCTTTCCTAGCTGGGTTTCCACTCTGCAGAGTAAAGGCAGGCTCGTTTTTCTTTATTTAAATTGACTGCTGCTGAAGGAGTTAAGTGTCCAATTTGCACCACCTGGAAAAGCCCAAGCATTAAACTGAGCAGCAGATGATCCCAAGGCAGCTCAAACTCATTCTCAAGAGGAGATGGCCAAGAGAAAGTGCAGGTACCTAGAGCTGCAGTACTGTCCCAGAAATACATTGCCTCAGACAGCCTCCAGGGAGTTTTCTAGGAAAATAATAAAGAGCTAAACCATGTGTTTGCTCTGCTTTCTCTCTCCAACATACCAGAGCCCCTTTATAACCCGGGCTATCAGAGTTCACTTTTGCCGCTGCAGCTACAACAGAAGTTTCTCTGTTTATCTTTTTTTTTCCCCCTCCATGTAAACAGCACTCCCTTCTGCAGAGGGAATCTTTATTCAGCCAGCTCCAGCTCCTCTTGCTGGGCAAAGCAGTCCTACTCTCTGGGGGCAGGGCCTGCTTCCTTCTGCTGAGGACGGGAGGTCATGAGCAAGGTGTTTGCTCCAGGATTTGCACACAGCTTTTCAAACTTCCACTCCAGCAGGATTTCTTGTGGGTGGGGGACTGAAACCATGATGGTCACCCATCAGCCCTGCCAGCATTTCCAAATCTGATCATTCAAGGAAAGTCAAAGTTTGGGGTGATGGTTCTTTGCAGCCTGGGAAGCAATCACCTTTCAGACATGAGATTCCTACCTCTCCCCACACAAACCACTGTTTCCATCCTACCTACAGGTCAACGGTTACCGGGGAAAGCCCGACAGACCCAAGTAAAGTACTGGAACAACCAGCTATTGCTGTAAATGCAACTTCTGGGCTTGCAGCTATGTACGTGGGCACACGCAACTGCTCTACCTGCTCACTAGTGCCTTCTTCCCTGCCATCTACTCCTGTACTTCCTTTCCAGTTAGTTTCAAAATAAGTCAGAAAAGCAAAGATGTATCCTTTGAAGCACCTATACCAACCCCTCTCATTCTGGCTGAATGGGCTGGTAAGGACTGAACCAGCTGTTAGGTTGGCACACTGAAAAAGCAGCAGCAGGCTGCACAGAGAAGCTCCACCCTCTGCAGCCCCTTTCCTAAGCTCTTCACAAGTGCTTAGGTTTAGTAGGGAAGAGACTCTGCAGAGCAGCTTGCAGGAGCCTCCAGCATCGAGGTTCCTGATTTGCCTCTTGCTACTCTCACCTTGTCTCGCACACTGATGTGCCCAGTACTGCCTATCGGGGCACTGGCTGGTTCTAGGAACTGGAATTCCAAACTGGTAGGTAGGGACCGTCTGCACCCAAGTGTCACGACAGCGGGGACGCACAGGCGAGCCCCGGGGGCTTTTCTGAGCTGCCGCTGTCCTATTTGGCTCATGAGCGAATCCATTACTTAGCTCTTCAATCTTGCCTCTTTCAGCCCAAGACTACTGCTATTTGAAAGAGGAGGCTTCTGGTGATTCTTCCTTATAAGGGGGAAGAAGGGCAAGAGACTTAAGGGGAAGTGGAGAGGGAAGAAAAGGGGAAAAAGAATTTTCCCGTGAAGTAAGAAAATCACAAATGGGTTAAAAGTCCATTCAGAAAAGAGAGTCCTATGATGTTTTTGTTTAGCAGGTCTATTTTTAAGCCTATAGATCAAAAACAGGAAGCCACCATTAAAATTTCCCCTTGCAGAGTGCTTTCACAGCAAAAATTACAGCCATTTCCAAGACTACACACGTTTGGTTTCTTTCAGTGGTGCAGGGGATACCACAAATACACACAAGGTCTGTAACGTAAACGGGATTCTGCAGATACGGGCCCCCTTGAAGCCCAGGCACAATTCTGGTTTGCTTCTCAAAGAAGCAAACATCCTTTAGCCAAAGGATGTTACGTATAAATCACCATTTGCTGGGAAGAGCAGTGGAACTTCCAATAGACGTGTCGCTTAAGAGGACTGATGTATCATTCAACATAACAGATTATTATTCAGAAGTCTTTAAGAAGAGATATTTGACACTTCATGATGGATACATCAAGTTACTGGAAAGACTTAACACAGATAAATGGCTTCAGGAGAGAATTGGCAGAGCATCAGCCAGTAGAAAGACACTGCACCAAGTTACATCGACAATTCTGAACTATCATGCTATTTGTTCAGATACTATTACAGACAACCGTATAACACTCAAGTCAGTGAACCATCCCCGAAGACTTACTGTCAAAGCTGAATGCCCAGATCTGCCGAGAATAAAGAAATGTTTATTTCTGATTCATCAAGTTTTGACTTAACAATTACCAGTAAAAAATGTAAACAGAAGTATAATGTGTATTCCCCAGCTACAGTTTCCACTGCATCAACTTCACTGCTGAGGTCAAGTGGGCAGGGTAAACTTTACTGAGCAATTCTGAACAACTCTGCCAGCAAAAAGGCCGTTCTTGGGAAATAATGGGATGAGAGTCCTGCTCCCCCTCAAGATCAGCCAAAAATACGGAGATCTCTGTTCTTAACACTACATACCCAGAGATCTGTCAATAGCCCAATTAACACACTTCACTTATACTTCTTTACCTCTAATTTGTGGGCCGGAGACATCTTCCCAGCTAAACTGAGTGAGGTACGTCTATTGGAAACTCAAGTACACTAGTAAACCTGAACAAGGCACACAAGGAAGTAAAGCCTATTTGGCAAAGAAAAAAAAAAACCCTACCCTGCAAATCAGTGACATCATGCATTATCCAACTGCAACCCATTTAGCTTGGGAGGAAAGCATGCATGTGTCATTCTCCCCCCCAGACACATACATACACTATTTAAAACAAGAATTTCTTTATTGTTTGGACTACCCAACCCACACCACCCACTCGACATTCCTCATAGCTGCACTCTACACAGCCTTCGCATGCACCCTGGAAACTCAGTACCCAATCCACTAGAACCTGCAAAAAAACCCCAAGCTAGAAAGCCATTGCGTGAGTTTCTGCAAAGTCACTAAAAAAAAAAAAACCTCCCCCCCCCCCTCCCCCCCCCAAGCTAGAAGCCCACTCTGGCATCCTGCACAGATATGCTCTGTGTTGCTGCAGTCCTACTCGGAGGTGTGCATATACAGAGGACAAAGCACTGAGCTGCACAATACCCTGTGATACGGCTAGGGAGAGTATGTGGTTTGTACAGCAGCAGCCCCAGATGTATGCAGCCATGCTACTTTCAACAGGCTTAGTACAAGGAAGCCAGTGGTATTTGAGAATTATGGGTCGCTCATCTTCAC